AATTTATTTTATTTTATTTTATTTTTTTTTCACTAAAGAAAAAAGAAAAAAAGTTAGTTGATAGACCTCCTTTGGTGATAGAAAAATATTCACCTTATTATCAATGAGTCTGTAAAGATTGTCGATTTGCATTAGAGCAGAGTGTTCCGCCCACCAAAATAAAACATACCAAGTCATCGTCACAACCGCGTACGCGTGTAATATTATCAATCGAATACGCGTCGTGTAGTATGTGTAAAAACATAGCCTTCCAAATAATTAATTCATACTTGCATTTAACGATGAAATACCTACACCTGAGCATACAAGATATTGTTAATATAATTAAAAAATATTGTTGATAATAGTAATTGTGACAATTTGTTCCAGATCACGTGGATCGATGGGCTGGGCAACGTTCTGCACGAGGGGGTCGAGACGCAGGTAATATCCTCGGAGGACGGGCCCCTCTTCACCGTAAAATCGATCCTGACCGTCACGCCGCGCAAGGAGCACGACAACACCACATTCACTTGTCAAAGTCAGAATGCGGCGGATCGCACGCCGCAGAACGCCAAGCTGCGCGTCGAGGTGAGAGAAAGCACGGATCGCGTGCCGCTTCCTTGCCCGCCTGCATGTGAACGTCGGGCGCGGCACGCCACTGTACCAGCTGCTACTTACCTGCCGGCTACCCCCGACCGATCTACCCCCCGACGGCTAATAATGACCGAAATCCTTGACGCCTCGGCCCAACCGATCCCGCACCTGTCAGCCCGAATTATACGCCTTGGAAATTACCTTGTAACCCTCACCGGAAGCATAACTACCCGGGGAACTTTGCTCACCCTCCATAATGTTGTTCCGTGGCGCTTAAATCCCTGTCTCCTCTCCCTTTTGCCAATCGCGCGATATGCCTGCACTTTGGAGCTTACTTTTTTTTTTTAAACTTTGTTGTAACTTTACACCAGCATGATTAATTTTGCTTATCCACCGCAAAGTGTTGGCCCAACAAGTCGATTAAACTGCGCGCCCAAGTAACAAAATGATGATCACCGTTCGAGGATTTTTCGATCCCAGTGCGTCCGTTCGCTGTGAAAATCGATTGCGGCCAGATTGACCGCGCCAACAAATAGGTGCACTAGACGCACTGGCCGCGGTCGTCGTGCAATTTAATTGGCCCCGGGTCCAAACTCGAGCCGGACCATAGGCCACCGCGGGGCCTCTCTATCCCGCTTCGAAGCGAGTGCGTTTGACGGTCTCCCGAGCGATGGGGGAAAATCAGAGACACGTCGAGCCGCGCATCGAAAAATTTGACAGCCGACGGTGGAGTGCAGGGCACAGCTGCCGCTGCTACGGTTACATATAGGGCGCCCGCGAAAAGAGAGCGGAAAGTTGGAAAAAGGAGAAACCGACGGAAGGGGAGTAAAAGTTACGCGGACTGGCTATCTCTACATTTATAACCGACGCTCCGCAACGAATTTCGCTCGGAAAAGTCTGAAAGTGAAAATTCTTTCGAGTTTGACGATTTTAATCGCTGTAGGCTTTTCGTTTTTCAATTCGCGGAAAAAGTTCGGAGAGGGGATTCAAAGCATAGGTTCCTACAGATACCGTTAATTTGAACTCACCGCGTATAGCGCAATGAAGAACTGGCGAGTGAATAATATTTGTCAAAGGGTCGTTGTGCATACGTATATATTTATAGACGTGTACATACGTTTTTCAGTGAAACGGATCTCGGTTGAAACGCGAATCGCAAACTGCTGGGGCTCGCTTTTATTCACCAAAGAAATTGCATCCTCGAGTTTAGCCGAGACGTATACCTGCAGTGCTTGTCGGTCGACTTGTTTTTACCTTTGTAAACGAGATACTTGAAAATAAAAGGGGGAAGAAGAGAAAGACGGATACGAAATGGGGGGCGGGGGGGGGGGTTGCATGGGTCAGAGGATAATATTCCGCGCTAACGAAGATTCGCTCGTGCCCGCACTTGAGGAGCTACTGAAAAAACAAGCACGCCCACGGAGCAAATAACCCCGCGTGTCCACACGCAGTACAGGTAGTGTATACAATATATTGCCGCGGCCGATTTTACCCCGTGGCAGCCAACAAAGAACCGTACTGCTGATGCCGGCTTTGATCCTTGCTGCAATAACTATTCCCATTCAGTTGTCCGGGCCCACAAAGCGCTACCCTATACTTGATAGCAGCACTACAGCTTGGTCACCACAATACACATGCACAATATTCGTACGTATACGTATACGCGCAGCAGAGTGTATACATAGAGTAGCGCGGTGTTGAGCAATATCCTATTGGAGGTGGTCCCTCCTGCTTAAGGCTTTTTCATATGTATGTATTCTCGTATTGTGTGTTCAGGTTCATTACGCGCCAAAGGTTGCCCTGAAGATCCACCCGGGATTGGCGCAGAACGAACGGATACGCGAGGGAACGGAGCTACGATTCAAGTGCCGCGCCGAGGGAAACCCACCCAACATGGACTACACGTAAGCCGCTATGTGTATACACACACACACATATATATATATATATGCATACTCTCGCCACGAATAAATTTCGGTGGATCGCGTTTTATTGACCAGACTCCTCTCAAAACGTTCTGGTGTAACCTAGTTTCGTTTTCACCCAGATACAATGTATTTTTTAATCAATCAACGTCTCTTAGCCCTTTTCTCATACAATTTAAATTACATTCATGTACACATCTGAATGGTAAAATACTTGTGAACGACTCGAGTTGATAATCGTTCCTACCTTCGTAAGGATTAAAAAATATTATGCAAGACATTGCCCATGACGCGTAAACAATGTCGAATTGTCCCCAACAGATGGTACGTAAATGACAAGAAGGTAGTCGGCGACTACAAGACGGAGATGATAATCCACAACGTGACGCGCGAGTATCACGACGCAATAGTCAAGTGCGAGGTGTCCAACGAGGTGGGCAAGAGCGAGGAGACAAAGACGCTCGACGTCACGTGTAAGTATCGCGATGCATCGGGGGGGGGGGATGTATTTGTCCCATCCCCATACCTATCCCTGCTGTCGAGTAAGTAACGAGTGTTGAAAGTAATATTGATGAATGAAAATGCATGTCACGCGCAGACGGGCCGCAGTTCCGGCACCCGCCAGTCTCGGTGGAGTCGCATTACGGCGCCACGGAGATTCTGCAGTGCGACGTGGACGGCAACCCCCAGCCGGACATCTACTGGACCCACGAGGAGATGAACCACGTGCTCGCCTCGACGTCCAACATAAGCGTGCTCGTCAAGCCCGAGACTGCCGGGCGGTACTACTGCCACGCGCACGTCTCCGGATTTCCCCAGCTCGTGGGCACGGCCAGCATATACATCAGGGCCCCGCCCACCATCATCTCCCAGAGGATTCAATTTGTGCCCGACACCGACGAGGGCCCCGTCAAGGTACCTAAACAATTCCTACCTCCGAAACATTGTGCGTTATTTTATCTCTTTCGATAGATGGCGTTGTACGCGTACCGGCCTCGGGTGATTTCGAGATGCCGCGCTATTTTTTCATCGTCCAAGTTTTTTTTTTCCCAATACGCAACGTGCTGGAAAATTGCCTCGAACTTTTTTCCTCCCCGAATGTCGGAGCGTGTAGTTTTTAACGTGGTTTTGGAAACAAAGCTTTTTTTCCAACAAAAATGCTCTCGAGGAAACACGTTACGTTTGAACAGCAGCGGGAGTTCGGTTTGCACGCGCCTAGACAATTCTAGTTTCAGTTCGCATCACCTGTACGATAATACACGCGGGTAACGACGTATATATGTATACATCGTCGTTCAGGGATTGACGGGCCGATCGTATATGAAAAATATACTCAATGAAATCCAATAGCTCAAACGTCTGCGCTCGTCATCCGAAAAATTGTACGAGAGGCGCCGCGATGGGCTCGAGTGCCGATTATAAATACTCGGCTTGAGAACGGAGAGCCTTGAAAAACAATAATATCCCTCTGTTGAGCTCCAAAATGGTCTATAATAGCTCCGGTACATAAGAACTCGGCTGCCGGAAGCCCTCGTGTCTCGCAATCGAACGCCCAAAACTTGTATTGAAAAAAAAAAAAAAAAAAAAAAAGAGGGCTTGACCCAAACGCGTGGATGAGATCAAGGTGGTCGAAAGTCTTTGTGCTCGCGGCGCCAACATGATGAATATAGGTGGCCAGCGGCGTGATGGGTAATGACGGGCCGTGTCGTTTCTTAGGTGCAGTGCGTGGCGATATCGGTGCCGCGGGCCGACTCCGTCACCTGGAGCTTCGTCGGGCGCGAGCTGAATCTGTCGACGAGCAACGCCATTTATTACAAGAGCGACGTCTACGAGTCCGAACGGATCATCAGCACCCTGACCCTGCTGGATCCTGACTTTGCCTACTTCGGCGACTACAACTGCACCGTTAGCAACGCCTTTGGCGCGGACTCGGCCATCATCAAGCTCAAGACTCACGGTAAGTTCTTTTGGTTTTTTTACTTAAGTACTACTTATTTATTGAAATATTTAATTGGTCGTTCGGTATAATTTTTTTTTTTTTTTTTTTTTTTTTTTTTCTTCATCATCGTTATTTTTTCATCCATTTTTTTTTTTTTTTTTTTCTCTTTCGATAACGAGTTTTCACGAGTCATGAAAACCAAGTGAAGTTTAACGCATCGGTGTTATGCAATACAGCGCATAGTTAGTTGGCTCTGCGGAAGATACCGAGTAGATATCACGTAATGGCCGTTTGGATCCAATCAAGAGCCAATATACATATACACATACAGTATCTCCGTACAGTGAATGGAACGAGATCCCGTGTGTTAAATACCTCAGTTAGCAGAACCAATCACAGTGCTGGATATTACATTTTTTTTTGTTCGGTTATTCATTTCGCAACGGTAAAAATAATCGTAATTGAGGAATAATAAAAACAATCCAGTCACTTGCAGTATCCGAAACTTTAAGCAAGTCGATGATTATGAAAAAAAAAGTTGGTGGTAATACCTTTTGCCGGAGAATGGATAACTCTATTTTGTTGTTAAAGACCTGCATTTTTGTTTTTCCCGGCGTTATCTAGGCTCTGCACTTCATTATTGCACATTACCCAAACTTTGATAACAACTTGTTGGGATTTAATTTTTTTCGGGTAGGGATGAAGTGGACAGACCCTTAGGAGCGAGTATAGCTCCGAAATTACAATCTCACTCCGTAGGGGAAACGTATTATAGTTTTTTTTTTTTCGCAGTCGATACGAAGGTTGATGAAAAATTTCCCGTGGAGACGAGCTTTGCCGGATTTAACGCTCGAGCGTAATATCCTTTACGGTTTATAAACTTTCGCAGCTGCATCAACAGCAGTCGACTGCTAATTATCTTTTTAATGCAAACCAAATAGCGAGACCAGCGGACGTGAAATCCGTGCTCTACGAAAGTTTTTCAATTTGATTTTAGTTGTTACGAAGAATCGATCGGCAAAATCGTTTGAGCTCGAAAATCCACGTCATTAGAGAATGACAAGTATAATGATGATGATGATGATAATTATTATAATAATAATGCCATGCTAGAGTGAGCGGGAAATCGATTCAACTGTTATTATTATTGTTATTATTGATAATGGAAACGCGATACTTTAGCTCTGATTCCAGTCAACTGGCAACAAATTTTGGTGGCCGTGGGCTTGGTTATCTGTATCGTGCTCATCGGAATCATAATCATCCTCATGGTGAACTGCTGGCACAGTGCGCCGAAACAGCCACCGCCTAAGGCTGCCCAGGCACACGAGAACGATATCCGTAAGTACCTATCTATTTTTCTCCTCTCACCCTCGGCCCGTACAAACTCAATCAGTTGTACAAATGCGAGCGCGCGTATGACGCATCGACATTGAGTGACGATTCAATATTATTTCTAAAAGTGGTTTGCCGCAATCGGAAGGGGAAATTTAATGCAATGTACATTTGACTGCGCGCGAGTAAAGTGAGCGGAAAGTTGGGTCGAGAATTATTTATATTGAAATTACGTTAGCTGCTGAACTCGCGAACTGCGGAAAATCCAATGAAATTTCACGTTTTACACCAACAGGTTGGTCATATTTGAGCAGATTAAACATCGAGGCGCCGTTGTTTAACGTACATATTTCTGAATGGATGACTGAACGGTCTCGTAACGCGCAGGCTATCTACCTGTTGCGGCTCAGTGTACCTCACTGTGTCCAATTTCCCCCCCCCCCCCCCTATTGCCAAAATCCTCTATTTTTCTGATCGTCTGCAACTGCGGTACAACTTTTTGTCGGGAAAATCTGGGCGTTTGCAATATGCCTCGAGGATGAGTTTTAAACCGCAGTCGACAAACACGGAGAGTAGGACGAGCTTGGCGGAGAAAAAAGAAAAATGGACGAGTATTAGCAGACTTTCGCTGCAATGACGGTTTTTGTGCGCATCGCCAACCAGTCATCAGAAAAACCGTGTACCCCCCGTCCTACTTTTTTTTTTTTTTTTCCGCGCGGCACATCCCCGTGAAATCCCAGTTGCGAAACGATAGCGCTGCATCAGCGTGAAAACAAATCCGCGAAATTTTAGAGAATAACGGGAAAGCGGGCGAGTGCGCGCTCGAAAAGCAAATTAACGAGAACGGAAAAGTATGCCCGCGCGAGAAAGGATGCGTAACGCAAGCTCGCATACACGCACCAGCGATGTACCTATACTTGATAAAAAAGAAAAGAGAAAAAAAAAAGATGGGGGAGAGGGCAGATCAGCGCAGTTAACAACTGACACGGGCGGGGCTTTTGCAGAGGATACGGAGTCCAACGCCGACCGCTACCGGGAGAGCGACCGCAGCAGCAACCTGTCGGACGTCAAAGCGGACATCCGCGCGGGCTCGAGCGTCAGCAACGCCGAGAGCGTGACGGCTCTGGACAGCGAGGGCGAGGGTAGTACCCGTGGCGTGAACGCCCTCGCCCTTGCCGGGCCCGTGCCCAACCCCATGGCTGGATTCCGGTACAGCGCCGACTACACCGAGCCCTCCTTCCCGCCCAAGAGTAACGTGAGTGCACCCCTTTGGCCCTTCTCCTAAGGAGCGTCGGAGAAGACTTTTTACAATGCGATTATTTTTCGGCGAGCAGGACGGCAGCAATAACAACGGCTACGTGCCTTACGTGGACTACTCCCGCGACTACATGCCGCCGACGAGCCAAGGGGGCATGGGAGCGTCCCGCGAGTCCCTCAGCCGGATAGCCTCGAGCGGTATACTCGGCTCGAAGAAGATCGGCCTGAGCTCGGTCAACCTGGGTGGCACGCCGACGCCCACGAACGCCCCGACGATTATCGATCCTCGATTCTCCGCCACCTACGGCAACCCCTACCTCAGGTAAGCGACTCGACCAACTTGTGTCATTCGTGGTTGTTTTGTTTTTTCACTTTGTGCCGTACGAATGCTTTGCTATGATTTTTTATACTTATTATTACTCGGTGGTGGGAAAAGTACAAGAAATCAGAGTAGCTTTGATCGTCTGTTTGTTTGTTTGTCGGCCGGTTTGGTTACTTTCGGCCTTTGAATTTCCGTGAGCCGTAGCTTTGGGCTAATTAGCACTGTGAAAAATTTATTTGTCACGGTGTATTTTCAAGGGTCCTGGGCCATTTTGTACGGGTCGACTGGTACCTGTAACAAGCGCGTAGCACTGTTCTCCTAACTCGGGAATTTTTCTTTGTTGTCAACTTTTCAAGCTTGCGCCGTGTCCGTGTCTAGGATGCAGAATTTTTTTTTTTTTTTTTTCCTCCATGTACCGGGAAAGTGTGTCACACAGGAGCCCTTTTCATGACTCGCCCATGGGCGACCTAATGAATACTTTGTCGTCGCGAAATTTCAACCCACGTCAGAGTTCAAGTCCGAAAAATTTCTAATTAAGTATTTTTTTGAACGACACTTCAGCCATGTCCAAAAATGTTTTTCGGTATACCAAACGGCTTATATTTTCGAGATGCTTTGGTCATCCTAAAATTGTCATGACAAAACCTTCGCATCTCTGGAATCCCGATTTTGGCACATTTAAGTTTTCACACGGGCCTATAAATGTATATACAAGCAGTACCAACGACCGGCATTGTTTGAAGTTTGTACTCTGTAGCGCGGTACTGTAGCCAAGCAATTTTATTGATCATCAATTGCAGAATGTCGGCGGCCGAGCAGATGCGGCACGCGCCCCACACGGCGATACCAGGGGTGACGCCTGCTCCACCACCCTACACTCAGGCGATGCGGATGAACAACCTGAACGCGCTGAACGGGGCCGGTCCACAGGTGAGGGATCAGAGCTGTTTGGACGCACGTGGCCCCTCGCTTTTCAATGTCATTTACGTGTAACCCTCCCCGCCTCCCTGCCTCCCTCGCCGATTGTTGTGACCTGACGTGATGCATGTAGCTGCAAGGCCAGCCACAGCCACTGACGCCCGCCTTTGGTGGGCAATTACTGTCGCAGGCCCCGCTCTCGGCGCACTACATAACGGGAGGCCCGAACGGCGGTGTCGCCACGGTCAAGCGCACCTCGGCCATCACCGGCACCCTGGCGACGCACGTATGAGGCCGGCCGCCTGTCGTCGACGCCAACTAGAGCACCTGGCGAGCACAAGCACCAGCCTCCTGCACGGGCTCTCGTCGTCGCCGTCGTCGTCATCGTCATCTGACCTCGAGCCCCCATCGTGCCGAGCCGTGCGACTCGGACGGGCTGCTACTCCGCGAGGACGAAGAGGAGGAAGTGACGACCCGCCAAGTGGCCCTCGCGCGGGTCGAGGAGCTGTTGCGCCGGGCGCGCGCCGAGCGCACTGGTCGCACGAATGGCGGCCATTACGCGCCCATGGGGCAACAGTGGCGGGTCAGCGGCAACGGCGAGGCTCTTGCCCACGCTGAGCGGGTGCTGGACCGGTTGCGACAGGCGAGCCGCGATCACCGCCGATTGCTCGAGCAACGCGCCCGGCGCCGACTCGGCGTCGCCTTGTCGATCTTGGCGTCGAGCACCACCGATCTGACCAGCTGCTCCGAGGAGCCGTTGCAGCTGAGGGAGCTCGCCGGCTGGCCCGGGCTGGCTCGCGACCCCCGCGCTTCCCCGGCTACCGATCGCCGTAGCTAGCCACGCGATCGCGGGAGTCGCTGTTACGATGCGACTTTCGTTGCCGAGTTTTTCGTATCCCTGGTACCACAACGCGGTACGTGTGCGCTATCACATGCGACGTTGATTCTCGGCAGCTTTGTCGAGGGAGTCCAGGTGAGTGGCGCCCCGCACATATCCCTGTTTATTTCGATTAAGAGAAAAAAAGAAAAAAAAAAAAAAAAAAAAAGAGAGAACAAATGATGTTATTGAAAGTGCACATTGCCTAAGCAAACTTTAAAGATGAATATCAACTTTTATTCTGGCCAATCGAGTCAAATGTCTAAAATTAGCTCAATTCAGAGGTAGACGTCACTTACACGACGATATCTTTATCATGCAGCGCAGGGTAATTAAGCGTAAGAATGCAGTTGATCGAAGAATCGGGATGTCAATAATAATTGTAATAATAATTTCTTCGTCTACTGGGATTAATGCAGTAAAATACGTGAACGCCGCGACGATTTTGTACATAATAATGATTCATACCATAAATGAAGTATATACATACATACATATATATATATATATACAGGGAGGAGCTGATAGTGCTTGCGCTGCAAGAAGACCCTTGGCTATGTGTATACGTATATATACGTTGTACTCGAGCAGGCGATCGGGGGATGGGCGGGGAAGGCGTGTATTTATTGAAATTGGCCGGTAGTGGCCAATTGTCGTCGGGAATCGTCCTTATCTCGGGCAATTAACGCGACGACGCCCAATGCATAACAATGCCAGAACCCTTCCTCCGGACTTGGTATACGTACCTACCCCCCCCCTTCCCCTATGCAACTGCATCATACGGTGGGTACATATCCCTGCAAAGTGAGTCATGAGAGAGAGAGAGAGAGAGCAAACGAGATCGGAGATATAATAAGAAATCGTCCATCATCCGCATGGGTTCGGTAAAATCGAGGTAACATCGTTTTACTTGGTTATTGGGTGTACAAACGCACAATGTACGACCCCTGCGTTCACCCTGTCTCCGTACCTCCTACATCCTCTGACCCTAAACCGCGCCGCCGGCGCCACCACCACCCCTTCCCCCTTTTCTTTCGCTAACTCTGCTCTCAACGCGGGACGATCAATCAACCTTCTTCCGCGTNTTTTTTTTTTTTTTTTTTTTTTTTTTTTTTTTTTTTTTTTTTTTTTTTTTTTTTTTCTTCACCTCTTTTTTTCAATTAAAATACGTGTCCAGAATGCTTCTAGTATTATACTTAGTTCCAGACGTAAATTATTCATCGCGTACACAAACTTTTTTCTTCAAAAATTAACTTCAACGAATGACAGTGCAACAATGATTCTGGTGGATATTCATAATATATAATACATATAAATTTTCCAATACTGGATTAAATTCGAAAGAACATGAAAATTGTTGAATTTAAAGTGACGTTTAGGTTATTGTACATATTCATGCGAATAAAGGAAATAAACTAAGATTAATTATAAATTTGTTATCAAAATTAAAATCGCATTTGAAATACGAGAGTTAGAATTTTGATGAATCGCTTTTTCTGCAAATACGCGAACGAATACCTGCGTCTACGTTCGGTATAAAGCGCTCGTTCAAGCGTTAAAAAGCAAATTTCCTTGCAAGCTCGCGGCCAGCTCCGTACACTTTGAAATTACTTTTTTCCGGTCAAGGATTTATCGAGTTGTTGTGTATACGTACGCGGTTTTGCAGGCAGCACGGTTTCTCTCGCATTCCGCGTCAGGAGGATACACCCGGCTGTTTTTGAATTCAGTGCGTGCTTGCTTCACGTAAGCGTGGCCGAGGGAAAAATAGTACCGAGAAAAACATCGGGAAAAGCTTTTCATACGTGCAATAAGATACTTTATTTTTCGGCAAATGAGGTCGAAGCCAAATTTATTTAAATTGAACGATTACATTCGTTCGTTAAACCACGTTATCGTTGCTGTTATTGTTGGTAAAATAAAAAAAAAAATAAAAAAAATTCAGGTTTTCTAGTTATAAGCACATACTCCCTAGCGATTGAAGATTTTGTGACTGCAATATTATAAATGCAAAAACTTTTAAAAAATTTTCCGGCATTTTCAATCGTGGGCGTATATTTCAGTGCAATGTTTCAAAAATCGCGAAAAGTAACAACGTTTAGCTCGAGGAGAGAAAAAAAGGGGGTTGAAAAATAAAACAGTGCAGAAGTCTATTGATTTTAACTCTGGGAGTAAAAATACCTCGGCAAAAATAGCGCTCGCACGGTGGAACATTCGTCACGAAAAAATGCACAAGCGAGAGCCCTAAAGTTTTTAGAGATTGATTGGGGTAGGAAAAAACATTCGCTAACGATAAAAATAATTCATGTTAATAAAAACCAGGGTAACTTATTAATCATTCAATAAAAGAAGGTAGGAATGGATATCAGCGTTAAAAATCTTCGTTTAAACTATGTGCGGTACCTACTTTAGATGGTCGATAGATTCCACTCCTTTTTTTCGCAAAAACAACGAAATATAGAAAATTTGGACTCTGTTGATGAAATTCCCGTAATATGAAAAATGTGCTAGCTAAATTGCTGTTGGATAAAATCTTGGTTGGTCAAACTATTTGATGAGTGCATCACTCGTACGAGTCCAAAAACAGTAAAGAGCTAACCCAAGCAAATATTTCACGAGTTTGGACGTACAGACTCTAAATAGCCAATAAACGATTCTCAGACACTTGCACTTCAGAATCTTGATTTTTTTTCCCTACGGTGATACAATACTCACTTCCTTTTCATCCCCGGAAAAAAAAAAGTTATTTTAACCCACACCGTGTACCTGTATCACTTGCGTACGGAGAAACGCGTGAATAAAAAGGCAAACGGCGCTGGGCTGGTATTAATATTGATGCTTCGACGGAAAGGAGGTCCCTCCCGCGACGCGAACACTTCAAAGGCAAGCGGTACAAGGTGTATTGCTTTGGGGACGGGGGGTGAAGGGAAGAAAATGTGTCAACTCGCCGGGAAAATGCCGATTTCCGAGGAAATACCGATCGATTTACTATGCAACGACTACCGAAACGTGTTGTCCCGTACGCTCATGCATAAGTTACAATTGACTGGATCCCTTAGGGTTGGAAATTAAAACTACACGTAGCGTTGCTGGGCAGGAGGATACCCGTGTAGTGTTGTAACTGTAGAGGTAGTGTAAATAAAAAGGATACGAAGGAGAGGGAAGACAAGAATTATCGCTTGCAGCAAGTCTCTCTCTCTCTCGCTCTCTCTTTTACGCTCGAGTTTCGTTAGTGGTTTTTTTTTTTTTTTTTTTTTTTTTTTCACTCGGAAACCCCCCCAAAACTTTTTTTTAAAAAAAAAAAAAAAAAAAAAAAAAAAAAAAAAAAAAAAGA